TCAAACTTGATTCAAACAATACCAAGCAATACTTATAACATAAATGTAAACTTGTTTTAGTGAATGCATAACAAAATTTGCAACATGACCAATGTCTTGCAATGCATATGATGATATGTCCGGTTTTTAATATTTAAACACCCGAGGTGTTACAACAACTGACTGGTTGATCACAAGCCTAATTCCTCCAAACTCTAGCCATTTGGTACCCATCCGGGATTTTTATCTAAATAATTGAAAAAAAATAAAGCAAGCATAAGTATATGTCGTACTCAACAAATATAACATGGGGTTCATGAGGCTCAAAAGGCTGACACTGGTTAACTGCGATTAGCTTTTAATGAGTCATGATTTTAGCAATAGGGTGGCAACAAGTTTATCCACAAGCCCACATAAACATATGATCAGGTAAACATGAATAATGAATAGCATAAACAGTAATCATTAGTGAGCATCTTCATTATCCGTATCATCAGTGTTCATCATATATTTCGTAAATGTTCCAAGGTCACTCGTGACCGTGAGCATGGCTGTTATAACAGTTTTACACTCTGCAAAGGTTGTATACTTTCATTGTGAGTCGTGATTTACCCTTTCGCCCGAGGTAGCTAATCTCTTGACCCACTTCCAAGGAAGGTCGATAGGGTTCACTATGAAACCTTTTAAAGGTTCGTCTAACAAGTTTAGGCCATTAGATTTACTCGGCAAACAGATATAAAGCCCCCCTTCCTGAAGGCACAATGACGCGCAGCCTATACACAAGAGGACGGAGGCCACACTATACCCGATTCGTCAAGACATTGTTACACCAATAAAGGTAACCACTAACAAGATAGAAAAGGTCCTCACACTAAGCTAAAGTCAGAGCCATGTAGCCCTCATAGCTGTACTATAAGTCACGGATGATCACTTACAGATAAGTTCTTAGGGAGAGGAATCTAGAGCACCATAAAAACAGCCCAATGCTCTAGTCCTCTTGTTCCATGTTGCTAAAAAGAATCTATTAGTGTTTATTGCATATTCTATTAGTCAAGTTACAAGATCATAATTGTAGTTGAGCACTAGCATCATACTACCTAATGCAATATCCCATTGGTATTAAGGCACAAGGTAACAAAGTACTAAGAAATCCTTAGTGGTAGTCAAGGTAGACACATGCAGCATGAATTACATGATTAAAGGTGTATAGGACAACAAGGAAGATCCCATGCTATACTTTCCTTAAAACTCTGATCTTCTTCTTTTGATTCATAGCCTCCAAAAAATTGTTTCTTGATCACCACGTAAAACTCACCGACTGGACAAGATCATAAAGCACCACACAAGCATCTATGCAATCATACACGAAGCAAACAATAGAAGTAAATTAGAACATTACACCAAACATAAGAAACAATAAGTAAAAAGGTTTTAAATACGTTCTACATGTTGCTACGAACACACAGACGTGAAAAGCACTCTAATAGGAGCTATAACGAAAAAGTTATTAATTAAACAAGATTTCCATTAATAAAATAATAGATTAAATCTAACCTTGAATTTCAAAACTTGAAAATATATTTAACAGTAGGATGAACATATAGATTACTCAATTACGAATCTAATGCAACTTGAACGGGTCAAATCAGAGTTAAAACGGAGAAACTACGCATAAAATAATATCAATGGCAATTCTATAAATATTTTGAAATCAATTCCGTATTAAAAATAATTAAAAATTGAATTAAAACAGTCCCGTGGACTGGGGCTTATTTTTGGAAAAAACACAGGGGCCATAACAGATAAATCAAGGGCATATTTTTAATTACTTTTGAACTACTCAGGACGGCGGGTTGATTTGCGGAAAACATAGGGTCTCTTTTGAAAGTTTGCCTGCTGAAGGGGTAACTTCTAATATGGGCTGTTGATCTAGATTCGAACGTCCAGGAATAGATCAGAGAGAGAGAGCGCGGACCGGCATGGCCGGCGGCGAACTTGGCGGTGGCGCCATGGTCGGCGGCGAGAAGCTCGTCGGCAAAGCTTGAAATCGGCCCTAGAGACCACGAGAGAGCAAACCGGATACACGGGGAGAACGAGGACGGCGAGGCAAACTGACCTAGGTAGTTTTCACGGTGGGAGACGGCATGGAGGTGATGCGAGAAGCGGCAGAGGGGACGGTGAGCACGGCTGCACTAGGTTACGCGGCGACGTAGCGATTCGACGAGGTGGCTGCGACTGCGAGGCTTGGGATGGGGAGACACGGCCGCGGGCAGCTGCTATTTATGGCCCAAGGAGCATCTTGGCACGCACGGCAAGGCAGATGAGGCAGGGGTAGCGCGGACTCATCAGCGGTGGCGGCGAGTCCGGGCAAATCACGAGGTAGGAGAAGCGCCTGACATGCGGGCCCGGCATGTCAGCGACCGAGAGAGGGGAGGAGACACGCGGCGTGGGCTTAACTGGGCCAGCCTACGAAAGAAGCTGGCCGCGTGGGAGAGAGGGAAGGCGGAGTGGGCTGAAGCCAAGAGAGAGAGAGGCTGAGGTGGGCCGAGCGGGAGGAAACAGGCCGGCTGTGCCAGAAGAGAAGAGAGGATTTTTTCCATTTTCCTTTTCTATTTTCTTTTCAAAACCAAATTCAATTATGAACCAAATCAAATTCAAATAGAGTTTCAAAAATACTTTTCAATTCAAATAAAAATGAGCAATTTTGGTAAGTTTCCCAAAAATAAATTTTACAACCCTTTTAAACTCTTTTATTTTCCAATTCTCTATTTCTTTCTTTTCTTCAAATCCATTTTCAAATTCATTTTCAAAAGCATTTTGAATTCATTTTGAATTTTGGATTCAACCACTCATTGCAATAAATCAAATGCACCGGCATATATGCATAAACAAGTTGCTAAACCTTATAATGAATTTTAATTTGACAAAGTTTTATTTTTTTCATGCTCACAAAATACCAAATTAAATCCAATTTACCTATTTTAAAATCTTGCAAATTTTAGGGTGTTACAGTTAGAGATGTTTCTTGGACGCCATGTGGAAAATGAAAAGTAGACAAGACATAAAAGTCACTATCCAAAAATATATTTCATTTACTCGGAGGGTTTTTGTTAACAAAGGCCAAGCTCTTGTCGAAAAGCACGAGGAATGTTGTGAAAATTATGAAGGACAAGCCAAAAAATAAAATCACAGGATGTCTCATTAATCTTTATCAATATCTACAATTGTATCTAATATTAAAGAGCAAAGTGTTTCTTAGGTCATGGTTTTTTTTATTTATCAAACTGCCTTAGCATCCACTGTATTCCATAAATGACCTAAATTTATGACTCATGTTCATACGAGTTAGAAGAACTCACATCCATCGATGGCACATATTGGGTTCCATGTAACACATGTGCATGTTTGCTAGTCTAATATTAAAGAAAGGAAGGTAAATATTGACCGACGAATCTATTGACAGGGGCAAGTTGCGATTAGAAAATTAATTTGGACTCAGCAGCTAAAACTGAAAACTTTAGCTGTGGCATTTCAATCAATTAACAAAATATTTTAAATAGATATCTATTGATCAATAAGCTCAATAAAAACATTTTACATGAAAATTTTCATCTAAAATAGTTGGACCAAATAGAATTGAAACCAGAGAAAACACCAAATCTCCGTTAGTTTCTAATAGGGTATATGTGAGCGTCTTCATTGAATGTCTGCTAACATTTTACACTAAGCTTGTTCCACAGTAGAAGTGTTTGTGGTGTTGTACATCTGGCTACTCCCTTCTATAATGAAATGGCATGCAACTTATCTGCACATTTAAGAAAGAAAAAAGTGATCATGTAGACGAATATATTGTTTTAGTCAATACTCATGTCAATATATCATTCATTGACACATTCAGATTAGTCCCATAGCTCTATTTTACCCTTGTCTTTCTAAAGTTAGTAAACCTGTTTCATTATTTTAGTAAAACATTTCTCTTGTAGAAACTAGATTATGAATATCAAATTTATTGAATTGTCGATAGTTGAAACTACTACATAGTTTTCCATTTCGATCTATTTCTGAGTTTAGGAATAATATAGGTTCACTAACTCAGTTTGTTTACTAGTGATCGTGAAATTACCCCAATGGGACTTTCTCATTAAGTGTCGGTGCTAGACTTATAGCTACATAAATGAAATTACTCCAATGGGATGTTCGATTTAGGGAATCAACCCATTCTAGATAGGGTGATGCATAGTACCACATTCCTCGTACTAGTATTAGTTATTAGCTCGTGAGAAATGAGATGGCAATGGATCAACTCATTTTATTCAACAAACCAAACAAAAAACTAAAGGATGAGATGACGATGGACCACTTATTCCACAAACCAAGCACCCCCTAAAAGAATAGTGTATAGTACTTTAAAAACATGCAAGACGGCACCAGTTAATATGTAGAGGAAATGAGTATTGTCAAGAAGCACTATCTAAAGATGGAGAACAACAAAATGAATCAAATATGTCAAAAATACAGAAACTCTATGAACCCCATGCTAAACAGACAACTAAGAGGTTCACACACATAGACACACACACACACACTCACTCTCATACACACAAGTACAAAAACTTATCATAGACAATTGTCATAAATTGTTTGTATATATATGTTTTATTTAAATTGTAGAGAGATAAAAAAAGAAGCACTTGCTATCTACTTCTTCTATTCCAAATTGTAACTCATCCTGGCTTTTCAAATAGATAAATATTATGTCTATATACATACTAAAATATATGTATCTAGAAAATGTAGAACAACTTACAATTTGGAACCGAGTAGAATATAACATACAACAGCATTTAAAGGAAGACATTTGACCAATTTTGTCAGCATACGTGTATTCACATTTTGTTACCAATGCATTTCTATTTTCAGCGAACATGGTGCATCTCGATAACTATATGCTCTGACTAATTTGGCCATGTATATCTATCTTCTAGGTAAACAATGCAGGGATATGCATTAGGAAATCATCAATGGAGCATTCTGCAGAGGAGTATTCAATTGTTATGGCCACCAATCTTGAACGTGCATATCATTTGTCCCTACTTTCACATCCACTTCTGAAAGCCTCTGGGTCAGGCAGCATTGTTTTCATATCTTCAGTTGCCGGAGTGGTAGCCTTATTTAGCGGACCAATTTATGGAATGACTAAAGGTAACAGATACATTATTATATACAGGTTGTTTCTTTGATATTTGCATCTCATGTTTGCGCATATTTTTAGCTGGTATGAACCAATTAGCAAAGAACTTAGCATGCGAGTGGGCAAAAGACAACATAAGGATAAACTCTATTGCGCCAGGGTACATCTCGACTTCACTTACAGAAGGAGTAAGGGTCTCTTTACCACTACATCAATTGATCTTATTATGTTTTCGACTAGATCAATGATTATGTGAGTTTATTATACCAATTAAAAACATTTATAGTATTATCTCATATTTAAATTTACTTACTGCATATTACAATAAGTTTTAAATAGTCTATACCACTTCCTTGTGAGATTACCTAACCTTAATAACATAATAATCATAGATTTGTCTGCATACATATGCTTCATTGCATAGTACCTTCAGAATATGCCATAGCTTTCAACATCTTTTCATTGGCGCAGTTGAAGAGTAAATAACAATACTCTGTAGTTGGCAATAACTTTGATAATGTTACTTCTGTTAGATATGGTTTTATTGCAATATAATGAACCCATATTTGTATGAGTTGCTATAAATATAATTGGCACAAAAGAAATACACTTTTTATTATGCACAAATTTATGTTTTGGATGTTTTCTTAGCAAAATCTACTGTACTGAAAATTTGCATAGAATTTAGATGATGCTATACTATTGGATTGAGGCTGCATTGCCCAACTGACAAAAGATTTCAGTTCTAGTAATAATTTGCAGTTGCTATGTTGTTTTGATTTATAATTTCAACTAACTAGAGTATCTAAATGTACTAACTGAACTAAGTCACCCAATCCTTAACAGTTGAAAATATACTATATCCCAACAATGTCTATAGTCAGTGTTTATTCATAATTGTAATATAGAAGAATCTGATTTTTTTTATAAAAGAAGGCTCTTATTAATTCGCAATCATTACATCGATTTGATACAAAAACCGTGAACCCACTTCTGGCTTCTACATAAAAGCACACAGCCTAAACAGAGATAAAGGAGATGCACTATAACGACTATCAATCCTAAGACTAGATCACCACCTATGTGCCTGGGAGAAAAACATCATGACCGCTTACGCTAATCATTGTGATGCCGCTGCAACCAAAGCCTGTAAGTAAGTTTCTTTAGGATAACCCAAGTGCGGAGCCAACGGATAACTGAATGTATCATCTAAAAAGGAGAACAAACATGTTTCTTTTCTAACACCAAATTATTTCCGCTTAACCATTGCACCCAACAAGTAGTTGCCGCCCCTAGCAAAACTAAAGGTTTTACCTCTCTCCCAAACCCCCGAAGCCAACTCCCAAACATATGATAAATAATACAAGTTTGAGGAAAGTTTAAAGCAACATGTATGCAGCTTCAAGCTGAACGGGCAAAATGACATTCAGTGAACATGTGCTTAATTGTCTCATTTTGTGATAAAAGCAACACTTTTCACTACCCGGCCAATTGCATTTGGCTAAGTCACCTTTTGTTATAGTCACTCCTCTACAAAGATACGAAAGAAAAATTTTGATCTTCAGTGGAGCCTTTAACCTCCAAACGATGTTTAAGTCGGGAACCTCCATGTGAATTAAAGCTTCATAATGGGATTTCACCGAGAACTTCCCCTTTGGGTCCAAGTTCCACTGAACACATCATTCTCTTGTATAAGTCTAATATTAGCAATGCGAGAAAGAAGTTCATTTCAAGCCACTAATTTAGGTCCAATCAAATTACGCCTCCATGAAATGTTTAGATGTGATGTACCAAAACCCTTAGCTATAATATCTTGCTTGTGTCTAGCGATGATATATAAGCAAAGATATTTTTCCTTCAGAGGTGACTTTTCTAACCACTTATCCGCCTAAAATCTCACTTGGAACCCATCTTTAATTGTCAAGGATCCAAAACGGAGAAAATCTTGTTTCAGATTTCCTAAATTGTTTCCTGCTTCCTAATGCTAAATCTATAGCTATGAAATTCATTGTTTTGTACGAGTATGCTGAATTCATCTTCTTCTCATAATAACCCCGCAAAAAAAATCTTCTTCTCGTAGCCAGCATGCATATGCTCCCGACACACAGTAACACAGGACCTGCAATATCTTGAGGAAAAGACATGCGGCCAGCTCTTATTTTGTTTTTCTTTATTTGTGTAGGTTTTTTCAAACAAGGAATTGAGGGACAATATCTTGAGCCAAGCTCCACTCAGGCGTGCAGGAGAACCAGAGGAAATATCTTCTATCGTTGCTTTTCTTTGCATGCCTGGTTCGACGTACATTACAGGCCAAACGATTTCAGTTGATGGAGGCATGACTATTAATGGGTGTTATCCAACTCCGAAAGAAAATATGTTCCTCAATGTCGTGGAAACCACCACTACTAAGGGCGCTCATCAAAGTTAGAATAAACAGAACTAGCCGTATAGGGTGCACGATTGCACTCTAGCCTTTCCGTATTCTGCATGAACCAGACAAAATTGTATTCTATAAGAACAAGATGTACGAATTAATCTGTGGTACTGAAGCCCTAAAAGTAATGTATTTTTACTTTTCACTTTCTCTGCAATTGTATTGCTTGATAAACTCACACATCGAATTCCATTTTTTTGTTAAAAAGATAATTAAGATGGTTATCTAAATGAATTTAGAATAACATTTATTTATGCGACTATTGGATGAATTAGTGATTCAAGGTTGAAAAATTAAGTTGAAGCTTGTAAAACTTAGCCACAGAGGAAGTATCCTTTCTTGCAATATAGATCACTAAAATAGACTTACTGTACGAGCAAACATATTTTGATGGATTTATTGTACGAGCAAACATAGATCGCTAACAATATCTAATTAAAATAGTATTTTGATAGATTTTTTCTTCTGTTTATAGAATTTTTTATTCATAAACATATTATAGCTTAATTTTCTTACTACCCAAATGTTTCATTAGTTGGACTGTCGATTTTCTAGATTTAATAAAAAAAAGTTTGGTTTGTACTCATAAACACATCAACAATTTGGTGGGGAATTTTTTGTTTATTATGGAAGGATCAACTGTTCAAAGGTCTAGTTTTAACTGGGTAGTGGCAGTGGTATCTTCCTATCACTAACGAGTCTATGAACCGGCATTGATAGATAATTTTATCACTGTCGATTACCCTCTACTGGGTTTAATTCTAGAAGTGCTGCCGGGTTTGAACCAAGCAGTGATCCGTGAGTTTGAACTAGTGAGACACTGGGATATAGCCGTGATCCTTTGCGTGGTTCTTGTGTAAGGGGTTGTCTGGTTGATGCCCTTCGAGATAGCGCTAGGGCCAGAGGCATAGATCTGAGCTCCAGACACTCAGAATCATAAGGCCTGGGAGCGGTAAGAGAATGACCAAGCAAAGCTGCCAGATATTCAAACCATAAACGTTGGCCTGGTCGGCAGTGAAGCAGCGATACAACGATTAGCAATACCCGATCCAGAATAATTGTCCTTTTGTTATCTTCAAAGAAGTAGCATTCGTTTTACAAGACATACCTGAACATGAGAACTATTATACAGAAAGAGCACTAGGGAAAACATTCCTTGTACATTTATTTTGCTACTGAAATCAAAACTGTTCCTGAAGTATGGTCGATCAGAGATTGAGCAGGCACCTCAGCGACTTGCCTTCCTCCAGTAACTGGAAAGCTTTGTTGATGTCCGAGAATGGCATCTTGTGTGTTATGAAGCTATCGAAGTTTATATTGACCTCCTGAACATTTGAACAACAGGTAAGAGAATGACCATGCAGTAACACTGTACTAGGTGGCATCTGTTTCGTACGTGCGAACAATAGCATTCTTAATTATTGCAGAACGAAAAGTGTCGATCAGAGATGCTAATTAGATTAGAAATGAAAAGATAATAATTGTAAAAAGCCCGATTTTTAGGGAGTCAGCGAGCTACGTACCCCGTTGACGCACTTGTCGACGAGGTCGGGCAGCTGGGACTTGCCCTTGAAGTCGCCGAAGACGCAGCCGATGATCCGACGGCCATAGAGCTCCATCGGCCATGTCGCCGAAGTCGCCGTTGAATGGATCCCTAGCATCACCGTCAGGCCCCAACCCTGCATATATATATATATTACGACACAAGGTCTTAGTAGGAGTTCTGAAGGAAGGAGAAAAAATAGGTTTGGGTCTAACTGGGCAAAATAATGTGCCGGGCTATATTGTTAGTGGGCCAATTAGCGACGGTATTGGCAAGGAAGGAGACATGAGAATGGAAGGAACAGGAAAGCACAACTTACATCATGCGTGGACAGGAAGGCCTCTCGCAGCACATCATTGATCCCGGTACACTCAAAGCTGTAGTCTACACCTCCATCCGTCATCTCGCTGATCACCTGCACAATCAGTTTTCAGTGTACCGGCCGTAGAGTGCCATATACAGATACAGATGATACTAGTGTTCTCTTGTGATCATACAGAATAACAATGCTGATAAACATTTTCACTGCAAAAAGGAGAAAGAAATGGCGTATGTACCTCATGGACTAGTTTGTCACAAGCCTTAGAGTCGACGAAGTCCGTGACACCCATCTCTTTACCTGGACACACATTTCATTTCCAGTCAGTGTATGATAATCTATCTCATAAACATGTTCTCTGATTAGACAAGGGCACTAGTACTCTTCCAAAATTGAAAGCCATTGCATTCAAAATAGTTAGATGGCGCCCAAATTCCACATTTCCAAACAAGCACGTCAAGTTGTACACTACTGATCATCAAGATGATGTGCACTATGTACCACAGTTTTTCAAAGAGGAAGAAAAATTAAGAGACGGGGGTGTGGGTGTACAATCCTCCAATCAATTCACAAATAGGACATTGTTGTCTTCCTTCTGCTGACTGTCACAACACGCGCGGGGGTTTGATATTATTCAGCTGGTAATTTTACATCAATTGCTACAAACAATTTTACATATGGATCATTTTAAGAGAATTTTTCGGCACAGCTCATCAGGCTGATCAGCACTTGTAAAAGTAAAAGTTTTGATGTGATTTTGTTCTTTGAACTGCAAATAATTGTTCAAAGATCACTCCGTTGCTGGACACAAAATGTACCTCTTACAAATCAACAGATCAATTGAGATTGAGACATAGCATGGATGCTCTGTGTGAGGCTAGTGGCAAAACCAGACTTGTTCTGTTTTGCTCCCGGTTGCATCATATGGAAAATGACATCCTGATTGTTGAAATTGACAGGCTAGATGTGTTCTCCGTGGGTGCATGTGCATGTTTCTACTTAAATAATATTATCAACAAGAGAAAATCGTCTTTCTTTAATAGTGTACTAGAAATGTTGCCTTCTCGGTAGAGTAACTCTGCTTTGTCTTCTCCATATATGCATGTTCTTTATTTAACCACGGGTGCATTGAATATTCATTCATGAAATCAGCAACCAATTTCTTCCCTTATTTCAGACATGAGGAAAAATAACTTTATGTCGAGAAAACAAAAAGAGTAAGCAGTAGATGGGAAACGAGTTCAAACGGTTGGCAAGTCATAGCTCCAGGTTTCCTCCCTTTCCTGTTTTTGTCAGTTTGAAAAGCAAACACAGGAACCATCCGTGGGACTTTACCAAACTGTCAAGTCATGCTGTGCACAGGCATTTTGTTTGCTAGATCCAGAGGGTTGTGAAAATGGCTAAAGAAGAATAAGGGTGCAAAAAGAGAGAAATAATGGAAACGACGTGGCTCAGCAGTCAGCACGCACCTTTGGTGAACTTTGCAGGGTTTACATCAACGCCGATGATCCGAGCTGCCCCTCGTAGCCTGGCACCCTCAGCAACCTATTAGAAAATAGATGAACAGATTTATGGTTATCCAGATAGATATAACTTAGTCAGGTAAATAAATTCTCGTGTAATTAAGTTGAGGTAAAAACATATATACTGACAGCAAGACCAACAGCGCCGAGTCCAAACACTGCAACAGTTGATCCAGCAGAAACGTCTGCAGCGTCCCACGCAGCTCCCACTCCTGCTGATGCCAAAAACATAGAAGAAACGGAAATTATATATGGTTCCGCAAAACTGGTCTCATTTGTATTTTGCTTGCATGTGAAATTTGCGTTGCTTTGCATGGATGTATCAAACATGCATAATTCCACGGATTTAATTTTCACAACTAACTAATGAAGCATACTAGTACTAGGGGGCGATGTTAGTTGGTTCTTAATTTGACCACCTGTGGTGATGCCGCAGCTGAGGAGGCACATCTTCTCCAGCGGGGCCTTGGGGCTGATCTTGACGGCGCAGGCCGCGTCAAGCACGGTGTACTCGGTGAAGGTGGAGGTGATGAGGAAGTGGAACACCGGCTGCTGCACGCCTGACCGCCGGTCCACCACGGAGAACCTCGTGCCATTGTCATGGACCATGGTGGTCTTGAAAGGATCCACACGGTAGGTTCCGCAGAGGTTTGTCTTGTCGGACTTGCAATAGACAGCATTTTTCGCACTCCCCGGTGAAGATTGGAATTACGTGGTCTCCAGGGGCAAGACCTTGTACTCCTTCGCCCACGCTCTCCACCACTCTGTAATGTAAGCAAGTCAGTAAAGTGCTGCTAGCTATCACACTAGTCAAAACACTAGCAATAATAATGAGTGGACGGAGTGGAATCTACTGTTTCATTACTTCAAACTAAAAGTATGTCTTTTTTTTTGAGGAATCAAACTAAAAGTATGTCACTCTTGAAAATTTGCAATAAAGTTTCATTTTTCGCCTCCGTTAAATAAATAACAAAACAAGCTTGCTGGGGCATGTTAACTGTAGGATCATAGATCTAGCCATAGACTTGTCCTATTCGGTATAAAAGGTGAAGCAGTAGATCCTAATACATGTAGAACGAACTAGAGAGAGACAGGGAGATGGTGCTGAACCTGACACCGAGGAGGGGGAGGGTTCGGTGGCTCCCATCGGGTTCATTGGTGATGTCTGCGCATGGGCAGCGACGGTCGGTGAAGATCGGTCGGAGATGCGGTGCCGACGGTGAAGATCGACGACGGCGCAGTGCAGCGATGGAGGCACTTCCCGTCACTGGTTGTGCCCCTCACTTAGATCGGGTTTAGGATTTGTCGGTGGGGAGGTCGGCTCAGGTCAACCTCGTGATAAGAGCCACTGGCCCCCACCTCTTTTTATAGCGCAGGGTGACAGGGGCTCTCCAGTCATGATAGGCTAGGCGCCCCCGATCAGGGCACGAATCAAAGGCCCAACTGGGCCATTGGGTCCAGTTAGGTTAGAGATCAATCTAACAATCTCCTCCTTGATCTCTTTTCATCATTCACTTTCATATCATTTACTTTTGTTCATTCCATTACAGATTAGCGCATAGAGCATGTCTCATCGTCACGGTCCATTGCCGATAGATTTAACAGCTAC